CCGTCAGAGCAAGAGGGTCATTGGAACTGGCCATCACCGTAGAGGATCCACATCCCTCTATATCCTTGACATCTTACACCTTCCTTCAGCTTCCACCACATCCGCATTCCAAATGGCTGCATCAACATCAAGATCCACTTCGTCGTTTTCTTTGCCCAGTGGCACCATCGCTTAGGTCACTTGTGTGGTTCTCGTTTATCTACCCTTGTTCGACAAGGTGTTTTGGGTCATGTTTCCATAGATGCTGGTTTTCACTGTAAGGGTTGTAAGCTAGGGAAACAAATACAACTTCCATACTCTTCCAACACTACTCATTCTAGTCATCCTTTTGATTTAGTGCACTCTGATGTATGGGGTCCTTCCCCCTTTGTTTCGAAAGGTAGCCACAAACATTATGTCATATTTGTTGATGATCACTCTCGACATACTTGGGTCTATTTTATGAAGCATCGTTCTGAGTTGTTTTCTATATATAAGGCTTTTGTACATATGGTCCATACTCAGTTTTCCAGTGTTGTTCGTGTTTTTCGTTCTGACTCCGGGGGGGAGTATCTATCTACTGCTTTTCGCGAGTTTCTCTCATCCGAGGGTACTCTCCCTCAGCTTTCATGCCCTGGTGCCCATGCTCAGAATGGCGTTGCTGAGCGTAAGCATCGCCATATTATTGAGACAGCTCGTACCCTTCTGATTTCTTCCTTTGTCCCCACTCATTTTTGGGGTGAAGCTATCTCAACTACTGTTTATCTTATCAATCTCCAACCTTTTACTCGCCTTGAAGGCAAGTGTCCTGGTGAGGTTTTGTTTGGTTCTCCTCCCACGTATGACCACCTCCGTGTCTTTGGTTGTACTTGTTATGTTCTTTTAGCACCTCGTGAGCGTACCAAGTTGACTGCCTCAGTCTGCTCAGTGTGTCTTCCTTGGATATAGTCTTGAACATAAGGGCTATCGTTGCTATGATTCTTCTACTCGCCGCATTCGCTTTTCTCGCGATGTCACTTTTGTTGAGGATCAACCCTTCTTCTATTCCCCTTCCACTAAACCATCTTCCTCAACTTCTTTAGAGTCTACCTCGTTTCTTTCACTTCCACCTATCTTTTTAGATGAGTCCATAGCTGAACAACCTTCCTCTGTCCTAACATCAGAACCATCTCCACCACATGTTTCATCTCCTTCCTCACCAGCTCCTTTCTCTCTTCCACTAGCTCCACCTCTAGATAGTCTTCCTTTCCATTACACTCGTCGTTATTCTACTCCTCCGGTCAATACTTTCCATTACACTCGTCGTTCTAAAGTTCCATGTGACACGCAGTCATCTATGCCTTTGTCTTCTACTCCTCTAGCCAGTACTACTGATCCTTGCACTGACGGCTCTTCTCTAGCAACGCGATACAAAAAGGACTTATATGCAGGGGCTGTTTCTGAGCCTAGTACCTATCAGGAGGCAGTTGTGTCACCTGAGTGGCAACTGGCTATGTCTGAGGAGCTTGCAGCCTTAGAGCGTACTGGTACATGGGATTTGGTACCATTACCTCCTCGTTCAGTCCCTATCACTTGCAAATGGGTGTATAAGGTTAAAACCAAGTCAAATGGTTCTGTGGAACGCTACAAGGCTCGCCTTGTTGCAAGAGGTTTTCAGCAGTCTCATGGGAAAGATTATGATGAGACATTTGCTCCTGTTGCTCACATGACTTCAGTTCGAACTCTAATTGTTGTGGCTACTACTCGGTCATGGAAAATTTCCCACATGGATGTGAAGAATGCCTTCCTTCATGGTGATTTACATGAGGAAGTATATATGCAGCCACCTCCAGGTATCAAGGTTCCATCAGGTCATGTTTGTCGTCTTCGAAAGGCTCTTTATGGGCTTAAGCAAGCCCCTCGTGCCTGGTTTGAGCGGTTTAGTTCTGTGATTCAAGCTGCCGGTTTTTTTCCTTGTGAACATGACCCTGCACTCTTCATTCATACATCTGAGCATGGCCGTACATTGCTTCTACTTTATGTAGATGACATGTTGATCACTGGAAATGATGTTGGGTATATTGATTTTGTTAAGAAAAAATTGAGTGAACAATTCCAGATGTCAGATTTGGGGTCTCTCAGCTATTTTCTCGGGATTGAGGTCGAGCATACTGATGATGGTTACTATATCTCCCAGCAAAAATACACTCAGGATTTGATTCTTCGCTCAGGTCTCACTGACACGCGCATTGCTGCTACACCTATGGAGCTTCATCTGCAGTTGCGTCCTACTGATGGCACTCCTCTTGAGGACCCCTCTCGCTATCGTCACATTGTCGGCAGTCTAGTGTACCTCACAGTGACCAGACCTGACATCGCACATGCAGTCCATATTCTCAGTCAATTTGTCTGTGCTCCCACCTCAGTTCATCATGGTCACCTATTCCGAGTCCTTAGGTATTTAAGGGGAACTACATCTCGCCGCTTGTTCTATGCTAATTCCAGTCAGCTCCAGCTTCATGCTTACTCTGATTCCACTTGGGCGAGTGATCCTATTGATCGTCGCTCGGTCACTGGCTATTGCATATTTCTTGGTACATCTCTCATTGCATGGAAATCAAAGAAGCAAACTGCTGTGTCTCGCTCCAGCGCCGAGGCAGAGCTTAGGGCTCTCTCTACTACTACAACAGAGATTGTATGGCTTCGCTGGCTATTGGATGATCTTGGTGTCTTATGTCATACACCAACACCTCTTCTTTGTGACAACACTGCTGCTATTCAGATTGCTAATGATCCAGTCAAGCATGAGTTGACCAAACACATTGGTGTGGATGCCTTTTTCACTCGATCTCATTGTCAACAATCCACTGTCAAGCTACAATATGTCCCATCAGAGCTTGAAGTCGCAAATTTCTTCACCAAGGCACAAACTAGATATCAGCATAGGTTTCACACTCCCAAACTTGGTGTATCAGATGCTCCTGACCCACCTTAAGTTTGAAGGGGGGTGTTAAGTATATATGTTGTGTTTGTCTTGTACAGGCCCAGGCCCATAGTCTAGAGTGAGGCCCAGGCCCATGTAACCTTGTATATATCTCTCTCCTCCTCAATACAGAAAACTGTTCGGTCATTCTCTCTTCCTCACGTTTTCTAACAAAAACAGCCACTTCTTCATCGATGACAAACTCCATCTTCGAGTCCATGTGAAGATAACGCCGCAGCCGTAGCCGTAGTGATGCATGCATTAGCGCCCCTTTTTGTGTTTATGAGCGAGGAGAAGCCCCTGTTCTTTTCAACATATGAAGAAACCTGAACCGGGGCTGCTAGCATTTGTTAGCATTTGTTCTGCTCTCTTTTGGCGACCAGAATGTTAGCTGTAGAACAAACCTGAACCGTAGCCGTAGTTATTTGCTAGCATTTGTTCTGCTCTCTTTTGTCGACTAGAATGTAGCATGTGAACATCTATGGTTGGATGCTGGAGGTTTCATTACGCCGCGAACTCTTATCAGATGCAAAACTGTCAAGTGTGTTTGATGTGCACCTGAAGTCGTTGAACCGTTGATGAGCGCTCTGTTGTTGGCTGATACATATTACTAATGACCTCTTTGTTTCGCTGGACTTGTGACCCTTAGAATGAATATTATGTGATCATCTGTCCATGGTTATCCTTGGACATTTTAGTTCATAGTCCTTGGCAGTTGACAAATTTCTTAACAATGTGTGCCCCAGGGCAAAATTCTGCTGTATAGTTCAATGTTGTTGCTTGCAATGTGTGCTCCCTGGAAACAGGAACTTCCACAACATGCACTTCCAGGGCGAAACGCTCCCATATAAGCAGCAGCTTAAGAGTTCGCCCTGAAATAAACTCTCAGTCATAGGCGCTGGTTGTGTGATTCACACATCCATAGCTCAAGGGATACAAGTCATACAAGCACATTTCCCAACTTGCAAGTAGGGCGGAGACAAATCATCGACCCAAAAACGGAAAATCTGACATGGAAAACCAATCTTGCCATTGTTGTATCTATGTAGAAGTTCCATGGAATGATCAGTAAATACTTTGAAGATGTTCCAATAGACATGGACATGTTTAAAGAGCTATAGCACTGGCAACATACAACAGACAGCACAACACCCTTTGCCTTTTATATCACATTCTCGGAACAAATATGTTGAATAATATCCCACTATGATGCACAATTTCTCTCCTTTGAATCCTCTGACTGGTTAAATGATGCCGTGGATGCAAAACAACTTAGTACTCCCTCTGTAAAGAAATATAAGAGCGTTTAGATCACTAGCTCTTATATTTCTTTATGGAGGGAGTATTTCTGTACATGGTCATATCCAGACACCCTTGAATGCAGATTACTCTACCATTTTTCATACGTACAAGCACATTTTTCAACTTCCAAATAGCATTGGGACAATATTATCACATTGGCGCAAAAAACCTGGCATGAAAAAGCCAGTCTTACCACTCATCAGTGATATTCTCTACTGCAAAGTTTAATGGAATGATCAGTCAATGAATTGAAGATGCTCCAGTAGTTATGGACATGTTCAAAATTCTAAGCACATTACAACATCTGATGCCTTTTATCTCAAAATGAATATTGAATAGCATTAGCACTATGATACACAATTTCTGTCCCTCGAATGCTCTGCCCAGTTAATGGTGCTGCGGATATAACAAAATGTATATCTTATCTCTCTTTCTCAAAATCTGATGGGGAAAAGAATTACTTGGGGGCAATGTAACAAATTGTGCCTGTCTATTGTGAGAAAACAAAATGTACACTATACAATCTGAACAGTGTGACACAAGGAATCAAAGGCATAATTTGAAGATCCTATGTAGCCTGGTACCATTCTGCCATGTAGAGGAAACAAGCATGAGAAATTCAATTTTCTTTCTGAGCGGAAAGTCGCCGTGCTTGTGGACACCATCTGTTTCTGTTGTATGACTGAAAACAGGAATTGGTGTGTGTATGTGTGTATCTGACACTGGGAGATAAAGATTGATCTATGCTATCTACTACTCATCTAGTGAGAGGCTCAAGCTGCACCTCCATTACACCAGAAGGCCTAGATTCTGAACTCCTGGCAGAGCTGTCAGGATGCAAGAGATCAACCGAGTCATCTTCCTCGGTGTTACCTAGAACCCAGTGCCCTCTGAAGCTTCGGTCGCCGCCCCTTCGTTTGACCTCTTTATATTCCAAGGACAGAGCTATAACTATGGCGGAAAGCACCCACAGCATCAAGGCCCAGGTGAGCTCCTCTACATTTTCACTGTCATACCTGTGGCCTAAATGCTTCATTCCGGTGAAAAGCGCCACGACTCCGACGACAATTGCTGACCTGCCTGTGATGACATGTAGGTACTCCCAGAGGACACGGTTCTGGGGTGGAACCTCCCCGTTAGCGGGCCTCTTGGGCCGGAAATAGGCATTGAGTGGCTGAAAAGCTGCCAACAGTAAGGCTGACAAACCAAACTTGACGTGCACTGAATCGACATAGAAACCTCGGAGCTCAGCTGCAGCAAAAAGGACGCCAAGGAACATTATAGAGATCCCAGAATACTGCAGATAGACATGTATTTGGTACCACCCGTCTCCCTTCAAGCTTTTCAAATACCGAGCAGCCAATATTCCACCAGGAAGCAAAATGCCCCAGGCCACAAACATCATAAATCCATGCACAGCCAGAACGGGCCGCAAGTCCTGTTCTGCCTCAGCTGAACCTCTCAACAAAAGAACACGTATGGGGCGACTGCTTGTGACCGAATGCATATTACTGTCCGTCAGATCATCTCCTGACCAGCTTGCACCCATGGCCCAAACAACCTTGAGAGGTGTGGTTGGATCAATAATATTCTTGCACTCTACCTTTCCAGTACAGGAAGGCTTAAGAGGACGTGTAAACTCAAATGTAATAACGCCATCTTCTGATTTACACCTGACATAGGTTAAATTTTCAGATGTTGAATGAATACCTGCTGCACTCTTTCCATCAATCCAGTAAGTCTTGACCCTGCCAACTCCATCATTGCCTACCCAGCCAACATAGGCATAACTGTTCAGCATCCCACTCCCAAACGCGACAGCAAGGTACCCGCTTTTCTTCTCACCTCGAGCTGCTATGGATATAGAGTCAGTGGACAGAGTCCAAAACAGAGTAACCTGCTGATCATCCAACAATACACTGTTATTGTACATGTCACTGAGGCCTCCATCTACCACTTGAACCTTCCACCCCATCTTTGCTTCATACACCGACTGGTAGTAGACAAGATCAGGTGTATTCCTATCAGGCAGCCAAACCAGCTCTGTGGGGGTTGCTGGCACACCATGAACATCAGGGCCACCGGCATATATGACCTCAGTCTTATTCCGCAAAGTGGCATTTCCACCGATGGGGTCTGAAGTGACATACAGTGCCACATCATGACCAGCCTGCACTGAGAACTTCACCGGCACACCCCTCTCAACCTTCAGCAGTGGCGCCTCCTTCTTGTTGATGTATATCACCTTGTCCGGGTTTGGTGGGTTTGGGTAGCGCAATGCTGGAGCGGATGTCACAACCAGCGGTGTCTTCCCATCGGCAATGATCCTGTCCTGGTCTTGCTTATTGTCAGCATCCAACGGTCCAAGGCAACTGTCCACCACCTCGGACAAATTGACCCTCATCAATCCAAAGGTTTCGTCCCTCGGCCCCCCATGGTTCTGCGGGAGGTAGTGTGGGCGCAGAGTGTCCGGCGGACGCAGCTTCCCGATGGCCCAGACCACAGCCATCTCCTCCGTGGCACCAACAGGCACATCATACTTGTCATCTTCACTATCGAGTTTCCTCTTGTACCTGACGAAAGACACGCCATCGCGCCGGTGCCCATAAACCAGCCTGGAATCGTTCCTCCCGTCATCATAAGCACTGTCCGGGCACACTCCCGACACTGGCAGGTCATCCTTCCCCATGGTGCACTCGCTGTAGTCGGTAATGTAGTAGTCCTCTGCGAAGGGCATACCTTCCTCGGTGAAGCCGGCGACGACAACGTCCGAGCGGACCATGGCGGGGGAGTTGGCCTTGGGGTCGGCCCACCCGAAAGCCATGTAGTACTCGGAGCCAACGGCAGCCTCAAGGCCGATGTCGACCTCGCCGGCGGACACATTGAGCGTCCAGCGAAGGCGGTAGCCCTCGGAGAGCTGGACGCAGTTGTCGAACATGGTGGGCGCGGCGATCCGGGAGGCAAGAGCGGCGGTGGTGTTGGAGGAGTTGGAGACGGCGGATAGGAAGACGTGGCCGAGGTCGGAGGAGGTGTCGGGGTCGAAGATGGCGAGGAGCGGCGGCAGCGGGGCGGAGAAGGGGAGGCGGAGCGTCTCGTTGCGGAAGGTGGCGTTGAGCGGGAGCGGCGAAAAGGGGCGGCCTTTGGCGAGGTCGTCGAGGGAAGGGCCGTCGGCGGCCCAGAAGCGCGCGGAGGGGGAGGCGGCGAGGAGGTCGAAGCGCGTGAGCTGGAGCGCGCAGGCGCCGGAGGGGTCGAGGCGCACCGTGCCCCGCAGCTGGTGCTGCAGCATGGTGAGGTCCGCCGCGAAGCCCGCCGTGAGGTTGGTGTGCCGGCACGCCGCGTCGGCAACGGCCGCCAGGACCGCGGCCGCCACCGCGAGGCTGGCGAGGAGTGGGGCGAGGGCGGGGGCCATGGGATCACCCGGCGGCCCGCCACGCCGCGGCGGATCCGCGGATCGAGATCTGGGCCGGCGGGGCGGCGGGGGGTTGGGATCTGGGGTGGACGTTGGACTTGGAGCGGAGTTGGGTTCGGGAGAGTAGGAGGCCGGGCGGCGGGACGGTGGCGTGCGTGGGAGGCGAGGCGGGGCGGCCGGGGGGCGGTGGGTATTCGGAGGAGGGGAGGTTCTCGGTGGGGTGGGGATGCGACCGCCGCAGTTTGCTGTGGCTGTGGCGGTGGTGGCGAGGCGACTGGACCGGTGCGGTGCTGGTAGGGAAGCACCACCGGCAGCGCCTACAACTTTTTTTTTTGAGCGGGGCAGCCCTACAACTGTCAGTCACTGGCAGTGGTCCTCCACACCCCACGTGTTAGAGAGGCAAGGACGTGCTATTTTTTCCAAAGATAATAAAATAAAAAAGGAGAGACAAGATGTGCCATTTTGTCGAGCCGAAATAAAAAACGTGGCATTTTGTCGAACCACTAGTAGTGACTCTTATCTTAGATGAAAAACATCCGGGTTTTTTCCACCGGCGGATCCAAAGGGCATATTGAAGCCGTGGCATTCGATCAGCAGAAAAATTCTAAATTTCGTAACATCTTCCGACTAGGTTCTTAGAACGCAATGCACGGCGGACCGTTCAGCGCGAAGAGGTGGATGGCG